AAGTTATGGTAGGCGACATACAGAAAATTACATTCTTTTAAGTCCAAGAAGAACAAATTTTTAATAAAAATAAGGAAATGAGATGATAATGTTGCGTCATATTGTGTTGAAATATATACTTGTTCAATTTTATCAGTCTAAACACAATAAAATATTATTATTAAATATTAAAATATTATTACAATTAACATTTAAATATTTAAAATATATTAAAATGACGCTCTCCATCGAAATGCTCGATTTAGATTGAGAGCATCATTTTAATATATTTTAAATATTTAAATGTTAATTGTAATAATATTTTATTGTGTTTAGACTGATAAAATTGAACAAGTAAAAATAAGGAACTCAAGTTTATCAATGTTTCAAGCCATTAAATTCCAGCCACCACTTTACTGTCCACATCTTTCTCTGACATACTGGTATCTCAAATAATTATATCTTCGTAAACCGCCTGTGAATACGATGGCTCTTGGTGGTCGGGAGTTTAAATTCATGAAGCCTCGTGGACCAAATTCAAATTTATTCTGGCATCACAGAAAAGATTTCTGCTGCACTGAGGATAACAATATCCAGGCAGATAAGACGTAAAATATTACCAAGCTTATTATCCCAGATTGAGAAGAAACATAGGAGCAATATTCCTATTAATCAGATATTAACAAACCTTAAATGGAACCTTACGAGGTGAATATATATTTAGAGACAGAATCATTTCACAGTAGAGTAAGAGTGTGATGATGAATTGTAAGTATATTGTTTACCATATGCGTGCAAGCTGTCAGAGCTGAGTAAATGAGATATAAAAATTAATTTTTTTTTTGCAATATTACAAAATTACATTTTATTTCACCTCAGTTATCTGAATACTGCCTGAAGCTGCAATTTCAATATTAGTACCGTTGATAGTCCCCCCGTAAGTTGTGCATTTCCTTCCCTGTCATCCTGTACCTTCGCTTCTTTTCTTTATGTCAACCCGTTCCCAACCTTCATTATTTTCCCATCTTCTGTTGTTTTCTTAGGTCATATAGGGGCCAGTCTCTGCCCAGTGGTCGTACGCTTCATGCTGCTTTCATTTATTTCAGAGAAAATTGGGGTTTTATTCCTGGATTAGAAACTGCGGCTGACAACCGGCACAGGTCACAGGGACTTCACGTTCATTCATTCTTTGTTACTTGCCTGTATTTGTCTATAAGCATGTGTACTCTTGTTCAATAACATAGTTTGTAAATAAACAATTTTGTTATAAAGGGTTCTGGACCTGTGTACGTATCAATGTGATAATGTGTGTAGAGATTCATACTTCCACGTGTTAATATTTATTTCTGGCTATGTCATGAAAATGATGTAATTTAGAGATAAGGTACAATTACAATACATACTCTCACTGGCAATCAACACCAATCAAATAAATGTTCCCTGAAAGTGTTCTCATAGATTTAAAATTTTTAGGGTAAAATAATGTGAAAGAAACCAAAAATTCCAAAGTCATTACCACGTTAACTCGGTGGAAAGAGCATGCGTGACATTTTTCTTTTTTGCACAATTCCTGAAAATTGTTAATGCATGTGAAATGGTAATATCAGAGAAGCTCAACGCTCGTGTGCTACTTCATAAGGTATCACGCATTAAGACTGGCAAGTGTCATTGAAGTCCGTGTACATCCATTTCTTGACTTGACGTGGAATGACCAACACTGACCTCAGTTGGGAGAACGCTCAAATGTTACTGTTCAACTGTTAACAGGCCTCATCCTGTATTCCAGGAGCGTTGCAATCATTTCTAAACAAATCTCATAATTAATTGAAATAATCACGTTTTAATAACTAAAGGAGACACAAAATGAGACATTTAATTCCACGTAGGTAACTTAATGTGGGACATTTAAACTTAGTATATCAGGCAAGTTAAAGGTTAAACAGAGATTGACGAAAAAGTGAATTTCTTGTGACGTTCAACAATCTACAAACGGCAGAGGATGCGCTTTTGAAATCTGGGTAATACGGTTTCATAAATCAGGCTATCCAACCTCACAATGGCTTGTCAGTTCTTACCACAAGTTGTCAGCTCCTCTTTTTCCTTCTTTGCCCAGATGTCATGAGCATTTTCCGCCAGCCTCTCAGCCATGTTCTGCATTTCTCTGCTTAGTGTCAGATTAGTCATATCCACTGGGTGTGGGTGGTAGTTAAATGGTGTAGCTTTATCAACCTCAAAGAAACAAAGTTGTATGTTCAGTGGAAGATTATTAATTATTATTATTATTATTAAAGCTCTGAATGGACCTTGTATTGCCCATGGCAAATCATCATTGCTGCGCTATCTGTTGGATTTTTGTTATACTGTTTGCCCCATTCGACACTGAAGCATTGCACTTTCCATTTCTTCCATCGCTTTGTTCATAGAAATGACTTTACACGAGGTATTTTCTTTGCTTTCTCGACACTCCTGCTGTTTAAACCAGGAAGCAACTTGGCCTTTCGCCCCGCCTCAATTTGGAAATGACGGAAGTGTTATAGGAACCCGTTAACAGAAACATTGGAATTTGTGGTAGTGGGAGCGAATTCGACAGCGCTGAAGATGAGAAGAGTGTTGTGGTTGAAAAACCATCAGACAGCGAAGCAGATATTGTGAGGGACGCAAAAGACAAGTTAGTGAGCAATTTTCTATTGAAACAACTGCAGGGCGATTGGAAGAGGGAAAAACTTGACACTTTGTATGTCACGAATCTGTTACTGACAGGCCATTTAAATACTGTCACAGTGTTAGCTTAGTGGATATATAAATATTAGCATGAAGGGTTAAAACAAGTGCTGAATTCTGTGGGCACTGGAAGAGGTGAAATAAGAGCGCATACTGTATCATAAATGAATTAATACTTACTGGGCTCGTTTTGGAAGATATTCTTGTGGAATTTCTATTGTTTGACGGTACTTCAACATCTGAGTGTTCCACAGTCCAACCAATAGCAAGCAGGGCTTTCAAGGACTCTCTCACTGGCTCCTTATAACGCTCTTTCTCCTGAATATAAGACGACAGCTTTATTTTAGAAAATATTTTCCACGTCATACACAGATTCATGTGTGTTCAGAAGTTTCCATGACATCAAATGTACAAGTAGTTTAGAATTAATACAATGATTTATACTCGTCACCTCGCATTATAAAAGTGAATTCTGGGCAGCTGGCGGGGCAAAGAATGGATGCGGAACATTTGTACGGACATCTCTTCGAAAATGGCCTTTAGGAGAACTGATAAGTTGACGGAATGGAAGGTAACGGAACCGACCGATTGGGCTGAGCTCCCAGTGTAGGAGTTCTTTGTTGTTAGAAGCTGAAATATAATCTTGCATGTCATAGCGAAGCGTCCATTACAGTTTTACTTACATAGTCATTCAGCACGCTGTATGGTTTCAAGCGAGGGTGAGCTTCATTAGCATCAGACCACTGTTCTCCAAGTACCCAACCATTATCCAATTTCTTACTGCCCCATGCATCATGATAATGTTCTGAGAACTGTTGGACAATATTGTTGAGATCATTGTTCAAAACCACACTGAAACAAAGTTATAACATGAGAGAATTCAATCTATGCCATCAAATTGTGAGAATGCATATAAAATAATCATATTCTCAGTTTTCTGTAATGTATTATAAGAGAGAATCAAACTGATTATAAGAAAAAGTCATATAAACTAATAACATATAAGGTATTGCATGTGCGTCATATTGTGATTTATTTAAATAGTATTAAAAATATATTAAAATTGGCCGTCAATCACAATATAAGATAATTAAAAGATTAAAATATCATTTTACGTTCCGTATCGAGTACTCGATTTACATGTGGAACATTTACGACATGTTTCGGCTATATATAGCC